TGTTCAATAATGATATAGCTACATATATTTTTATAGTCTATGTTTTTTCAACTTTGCATTTTCCTTTTATTGTTATTATTATTGTTATTTTAATTTAAAGTAAACTCTGTGCCACACATGGGGCTTGAGTTCATAGGGCTTGAACTCACCACCCCAAGATCAAGAGTTGCATGCTCTATCAGCTGAGCCAGCCAGGCACCTCTCAACTTTCTATTTTCAATCTTTATGCATTTTTAACTTTTCAAGTACATATTTCATTGAAGGATTATTGACGTATACAGAAAAGTATACAACCTTTTAAATGTATGCATTGATTAATTTTTCCAAAACACACACACTGACTGAGCCAGTACTTAGGTCATGAAAGAGAACCTGAAGAGTAGTCCAGAAACCTCTTTGGGTGTCCTTTAAATTGCCAGTCCTCTCGTTCCTCCAAAAACAACCCAACTTTTAACTATATTGATTAGTTTTACCTGTTTTTGAACTTTACACATATGGAAACTTCCAGTACGTACTTTTTAATCTAAGATTCATTTTACCCAATAATATGAGATGCATCCATATATTTACATTTAACAGTAGTTGATTTGGGCTGCCTGTGTGGCTCAGTCAGTTAAGTGACCAACTCTTGATTTTGGCTCAGGTCATGATCTCAGGGTCAACAGATCAAGCCTCACATGTCAGGCTGTGTGCCAGGCGTAGAGCCTGCTTAAGATTCTCTCCCTCTCTCTCTCTCTGCCCCTCCCCCCCCTAAAAAAACCAAAACAGTAGTTGATTCATTTTCATTTCTATGTAGGATTGCACTGATGAATGTCCTGGGATTTATTTGTTGATGTTACTGTTGATGGATCTTTGAGTTGTTTCCAGCTTCTTGGTATGACAGATAGCACTGCTAAGGACATTTTTATACCTGCCTTTTGGATTCCTCTTGGATATATTGATTCAATGAATCTGGCTCATGGGATAAGGCATATGTCAGCGTTAGTAGATTCTGTGAAATAATTCTACTCTTGTACAAATTTACACTTCCACTAGCAGTGTCCAAAAGATACTACTGCTTCATATCCTGCCATTACTGGTCATTTTGTCCGTCTTTTCAATTGTAATCATTCTGGTAGGAGTTTGCTGGTATTGTGCTGTGGCTTTCATGGGCATTTCCCTGATGATTGAGCATATTGAGAGCTTTTTTATGTTTATTGACCCTTCATCTCTACATCTTTCTGATGGCTCATCTAGTCTAGCCTCTTGTCCATTTCATTATGAGCTGCCTTTTTGTGTATGTAGTTTTGGGGAGTTGGGAGACAGCACAAGATAGGAAAAGAAGGGTGAGCTTTGAGTTAGAAAGACCTACTTGCAACACTCTGTGTTCAGCTGAGGTCTCTCATGCTTGGAGTTGTCTGTGAAGGCACCGAGCCGTGGTGGGCTGTGTAGGCACCATCCAAGGAGTCATTGCAGTGTTCTGGTGGTCCCAGTTGAAATTAGAGGACTACTCAAGGCGGGGTTCTGAATATATTCCGTGTTGGATTCTGCATTTCCTTCCTTGCTTTTATATTTGCTGTCTTTGGTGACCAGGAACAAAATATTCACCGCCGACCTAGCTTTGCCACAGTATCTGAGATATCCGTTTGTTTCAAACTCTATCATTCTATTCAGGAAGGACAGGGCATTGGTTAATCTATTAAAGAGAATTTCAAAATGTTCCTGCCTGCCTAGTTAAACTCCTTTTGAATGTCTCAACAGCTTTAACACACGTTAATAAGAAGATGCAAATTACCGGACTGATCCCTCCCTCGGCAGCAGGACCAGATACGGGTTGTAGAGGAGGGGTCTCAGTCGGGCTGGAGAAAGAGAAGGCACCACGGAGAGGAAAAACCAGGCAGAGGAATGTACCAGGTGTATGTGACAGAACCGAGCTGAGAGACACTTAGCATTTCTATGTGTTAATAAGTGCATGGAACAAAAAACAAACACCAAAAGCAAAACAAAAAAAGGAGAGAAGACTCTTGCAGGAAGCGAGGGGAACATGCTCAGAAGGAAGCCCTTGAACCATTTGATTTCCTTCTAAAAGAATTTGTAAAAAATCATGCACCACGAGAAAATGAGAAGTTTGCCTATTCATATGAACTCTGCACAGAGAAGATTTTTCTATTCTGTGACCAGCAGAAGAGCCACAAAGAGGGAAAACTCTGACATAATATACAGATTGAAAACTTATTTACGTAAAAAAGATCATGAACTCCTTTTTTTTTTTTTTTTAAAGATTTTATTTATTTATTTGACAGAGGTAGAGAGCACAAGCAGGCAGAGCGGCAGGCAGAGGGAGAGGGAGAAGCAGGCTCTCCACTGAGCAGGGAGCCTGATGCAGGGCCCGATCCCAGGACCCTGGGATCATGACCTGAGCTGAAGGCAGCCGCTTAACCGACTGAGCCACCCAGGCGCCCCAAGATCATGAACTTCTAAAAGATGAAGAATTAACTGGGAATATCAGAACATCAGAGTAGACAAAGATATAAAATTTTTAATGGACAAGAAGATGCTCTACGGATACTGATTTATTCTCATAAGGGGCACTTGTTGCTGCCTGTCCCCTGCTCCAGCTGTCACAAGTACCACCGTCCCGTGAGCAGCACGTTCTCTCCCAGGGAAACACACCTACCTGTGCTCCCTTCTTCTAGGGCTGCCAGGACTCTCACGGAGGAAGACCAGATCCTGTTCTGCTCTGCCCAGCTTTCCCCTCAATTTCTTTCCCACTTACACCACGTGTATTTCTTACGATGCTTTACTTTCCTGCCAAAATAAGATTCCCATCCTCAGAGTTTTTCTCAGGAAAAGAGCAATCATATTGCACAATGTCCCCTCAATATTACTACACAAAAAAGAAAGATATACAGAAGTCAAAGGGAGGCAACTCCTGTTACGGATAAAGTAAAAAGAATATGTAATTGTGTGTAGAGCATTTCCTCATGAAAGCAGAAACAAGAGCATTTTGCAAAAGACAGTAATGATGTACAATATTAACATTGATTGTCTTTATTTATTTATTTATTTTTTAATTTTTTTTTTTAGATTTTTATTTATTTGAGAGAGACAGACAGACATAGTAAGAGAGAGAGCACAAGTGGGGAGGAGAGGGAGAAGCAGGCTCCCCACTGAGCAGGGATCCCGATGCGGGACTCGATCCCAGGACCCTGGGACCATGACCTGAGCTGAAGGCAGACGCTTAACCGACTGAGCCACCCAGGCGCCCATTTATTTATTTTTTTTAAAGATTTATTCATTTGAGAGAGAGAGTGCGGGGTGGGGGGAGGGCAAAGGGAGAGAATCTTCAAGTAGACTCCCTGCTGAGTGCGAGACCTAATCCCACGACTCAGAGATCATGACCTGAGCCAAAGCCAAGAGTCAGTCGCTCAACTGACTGAGCCCCAACTTTGATTGTCTTTAAATGGAGGGATGGTGGGTAATGTCCTCCTTTTTCCTACTTATTAAGTTTTATATTCTTATTATAATGACTACTGCAAAAAATATTATTTTGCTTGGAGGCAAACAAAATAAACTTGAGATTAAAACCCAAAGAATCAAGGACTTGTCCCATTAACTAATAACCACTCACTGACAGAGTCTTAGATCCAATCCCTGTTGTGTGATTTCGGGCCAGTCCTGTGATCTATATGTGCATAGCTTCTTCCAGAAATATTCTTGTTCTCTTAGTTCCAGCAAATAGCATGTCTTCTTGGTTCAGCTTTCTCTGTGGGTACATTAGTCCCTATCAATGAATTGCTGCAAAGATGGGCTTGGAAATGGTCCCTGAAACTCAGAGCATTTGACCCTTCCAACTCTTGTGAGCATTTTTTATAGTTGAGTGGGGGCATGTTTGTCATAGACCTACTAACTGGGCTTCCTCCTAGAACCTGAATTCTATCTGATGTCATTCTTTTGTTGATTCCCACTCTCTGGTTTGAATCGGCTTGCACACCCTATACCTACTAATTAAGTCACAACCATGATGGCCTTTACCTTTTCTTCAGGTTGACGAAATTTTTGACAAGCTTCTTCCTGACTTTAGGCTTTTGACCTCATTTTCTTAGAATATTTACTTTAGAAAACTTTTAATTAATAAATTCTTTCTCTGCTTCTTTGAGATGTAAATCTTTTAAAAAGCCTCTTGCCGGTTTCACAACGCAGGAACGTCCCAACTCAACAGATGGGAGTATTGCCTATGAAATGCAATGAATAAGGAAGGAAGACCCCCATCTCCCTTTCTTTGTGTGACTGTGGAAGTCTCACTCCTGTGGACAATGCTTGTTTCAAGTTCCAAAACTACCTTCTATCATAGAGAGGTGAGAAGTTTATTTTTCCTTTGGGTAAATACAATTAAGGAACACAGATGGCCTGTGTTTTTTCACTCACCACTCACCCCAGCACTTAAGAATCCTCTTACCGGGGGCACCTAAATGGCTCAGTTGTTTAAGTGTCTGACTCTTGGTTTTGGCTGAGGTCATGATCTCAGGGTTCTGAGATCCAGCCCTGTGCTTTGGCTCCATGCTCAGTGGGGAGTCTGCTGGAGATTCTCTGTCCTGTGCCCTTCCTTCACTTGTTTGCACACGCTCTCTCTCTCTCTCTCAAATAAACAGGTAAATAATAATAAAAAAAGAGTCCTCTTAGCATTTATCTCAGCAGACTTGAGCTCAGATCTCCTATTTCAGGAGTCTTGAATAAAGTCTTTTTTGCCTGTTGAACTTTGGTGCCATTTTTGCTGTGAAATCCTGTAGGGATTTTTGGCCACTCCTTTCCATGCTGCAGTGCTGTCCTTGGCCAGTTGCTTTTATTCCAGGCCTGCCAGGTCAGGCAACCTTTATTTCTTAAACCTGCTTGTGATGCTAAGCATTAATTGTGCGGTAACCTCGAGCTTTTCAAAATTGTAATAGGGAATTCCAATGAGGAAGGTATTTCAAAAAGCCTTGTCTTCTACTCTGGGGAAGGACTCTTCATGGGGGCAGGGATCATCTTCTCCAGCCTGAGAGCCTCCACAGAGCCCCCTTTATGTCCCTGTTCCTCAGGCTGTAGATGAAGGGGTTTAGCATGGGGGTGACCATCGTGTATACCACAGATGCTACCATTCCAGTGTCTGCTGAGTAGGAGGATGAGGGCTGGAAATACACCAGAAAGAGCGTCCCATAGAAGAGAGTGACCACTGTCAGGTGAGAGCCACAGGTCGAGAAGATTTTGTGCTTCCTCCCAGCCGAGGGGACCCTGAGGATGGTGTGCATGATGTGGGCATAAGAGACCAGGACGCAGGCGAGAGGGACCGCACCCGAGAGGGCTGCTTCAGCAAACATCATGGCCTGAAAGATCTGGGTGTCTGAGCAGGCAAGTTTGAGGAGAGGGAGAAGGTCACAGAAAAAGTGTGGGATGGAATGGGAGGCACAGAAGGAGAACCGAGACATGAGGAGGGTGAGGGAGAAGGCCAGGAGGTGGGCGCAGAGCCAGGGTGCGGCGACCAGCAGCAGGCAGCGTTGGGGGCACATGATCGTGGTGTAGTGGAGAGGAAGACAGATGGCCACGTAGCGGTCATAGGCCATCACGGCCAGCAGGAAGTCATCCAGCAGGGCCAGTGCCATGAAGAAGTACATCTGCACGAGGCACCCAGTGTGAGAGATGGTGTGGTGGTGTGTGAGGATGTTCACCAGCACCTTGGGGACAATGGTGCAGGAGAAGCAGGTATCGATGAGGGACAGGTTGGCCAGGAAGAAGTACATGGGGGTGTGGAGGTGCTGGTCCGCAACTATGGCCAGGATGATGAGCAGGTTCCCCAACACGGTCACCAGGTACATGCCCAGGAAGAGCCCAAACAGGAGGGGCAGCTGCTCTGGGTGTTTAGAGAAGCCCAGGAGCAGGAAGTCAGCGAAGTTGGTATGGTTTCTGATTGTCTTAAAGTAGAGAAATTGGAGGAAAATTTTGCTCAAGTAAAGGTAGGCTCTGAATAGTAGAGACTGCAAGGGCTTTGGTCTGTTTTTCTCTATTCCTTGGAAAAGTCACTGAGATTCACTAGCAGTTGAAACTGTGGGTTTGTAAACAGGAGGGCTGTGGACTGTGATAATCAGGTGTCAGGGGGAGCTGTGGTTTGGGTTCTAGACTCCTGCCATGTAGCAAGGTTTTGGCATGGATTGTTGGAGTGACACTGAACTGGGATTCACCTGAAAGGACTTCTTCAAATTTAGTTCTCTTTCTAAAAGACTTAGAACAGCAGGTTTTGTCTCCTTGCTTTTGGAGCTCACTTTGGGGGTCACACATCTACTAGGATTTCGTGGGCACTGCAGGGCGCCTGTGTATGCGTGTGAGTGTGTGAGTGCATCCTGAGGGAGATGGAGGAGGAGGAGTTTTTCCAGAGGGGAGCCAGTGCAGACCAGGGGTCTCTAGGCGTAGTGGGGTGATCTGGTGCCCTCTGCCTTAGAGGACCATTCCACTGAGTCAGTGTGGACGTGAGAACGTTGGAAACTGAGATGTGCTCTATCCTTAAGGGCAAATCATTTTCGTTGTCATCCTCAAACTCACCACCAACATCTTTTTATTTTCTGGGCTTTGGCGTCCTGGAGACATGATGGGAAGCTTCTCTCTGCTTCTTTTCTTGGTCTGACCTTGGTCAGCTACTTAACGCTGAATGTGTGTTTCCTCATTTGGACCATGAGCAGCACCTTCATGGAGTCATTGGTGTTATGACTGATATAACATGTATGGAGGGCAGGCTACTCTCAAGGGTGGTGATGCTCCTGTCATTGTTGGTCACAGTTGTTGAAATGTGAAGCAGGGACACACGATACAGTGGAAAAACATCAGATGCCCTGCTTTACAGCTCTGTTCCTCACATGCCTTTTAAACTCGGGGACAGGTTTTCTCCCTTTCTCCCTGTATCTTTTCTTCTCTGTAAGATACAGATACTAGCCTTACCTGATAGTTGTATTGAGGGGACCAATGGCTGGAATCTGTTGAAGTTTCTTTATCAACCATGATGTGCAATCAAGATGAGAAATTCCCATGATCCTGTTTGATGGTGTGGAGAAGCAAAGGTGATGATGATGATGAATGGTCAGTGGCAGCACGGCTTCATGTCATGTTTGTTTAGGGTTGTCATAAAAACATAATATACCTTTGGGAGTCAGACAGAATCTCCCCGTTCTTTACTTGTTTTTGTTTTTTTTTTTAAGATTTATTTATTTTAGAGAACGAGAAAGAGAATGAGTGAGCGAGTGGGGAGTGAGGGAGACACAGAGGGAGAGGGAGAATCTCCAGCAGACTCCCCGCAGAGGAGGAGCCCAATGCAGGGCTCTCTCTGAGGACCGGAGATCATCCCCGAAGCAAAATCAAGAGTCGGATGCCCAACAGACTGAGCCTCCAAGCATTCCCACTCTTAATCTTGATGTGAATTTGGAAAGTTGCTGAACATTTTTTGGCTTTAGCGTCAATGTCTTTTCAAATGGAATACTATCTGAGTTTACTGAATCCAGTGGTTATGAAGATTACATTGGGTTAAAAAATGACTGTATAATATTTAGACCAAGGCTGGCACCCAGTAAGTGCTCAATAAATCTGGTCTAGTATTGTTATTGCTGTTGTTGTTGTTGTTTTTTTTTTTTAGATTTTATTTATTTCACAGAGAGAGACCGCGAGAGAGGGAACACAAGCAGGGGGAGTGGGAGAGCGAGAAGCAGGCCTCCCGCAGAGCAGGGAGCCCGATGCGGGACTCGATCCCAGGACCCTGGGATCATGACCTGAGCCGAAGGCAGATGCTTAACGACTGAGCCCCCCAGGCGCCCCATGTTATTGCTGTTTTTAATCAAGTGATGGTGCTTGGTGGTTGTGGTGTTCCAGTCTGTGCCTGCAGGTTGGGCTTGTCAGTTGTGAGGTGTGAACAACAGAAGCCACCACCACCATCTTCACTGTCAGCAGCACCGCCTCTGCAGGGTTATGTCTCTACTCAGAACTGTCAATGGCAGAGCTTTTGGTGTTTTGGCATAAACTTGGTCAAATCACAGAATTATCAGGGCCCCCCAGCCCCCGGTTATTAATGGAAGAATGGGAATCCGTGAGTCTATCTGGAATAGTTATTTGCTGGCTCAAGTTTTTAGAAGAAGAGAGGGTATGGACAAGTTTGGTAAACTCTAACTGGATGTAGAGGAGTCAGTTACTAGTACTGACTTGGTGTGGTGGCTGAGAGAGATTCTGGAACCACACCTGCCTGAGTGAACTGAGAGGGAGGTGTGCTTAGTCGGGACACAGGTGGGGCTGGGGGAAGGGTGGTCTGAAGCCCATTCTCTTCAATGCCTTCAGCTTAGACTGTCAGGCACATGAAGAACCCCAGAGGTAGGTGGCCCTCCTAGTGATCTGAAGGGCCAGAAATTGATTGGCAGATGGGGATGTAGGATAGAAAGGGAAAAAGCAAAAGGAAAAGGTCAGTTGCTCTGTGTGTGTGTGTGTGTGCGTGTGCACGTGCACACAAGTATTCATATAAGGGGTTAAGGTAGACTGCTCTCTCCCCATCCATATGCCTCAGTTCTTACCTGGACAAGTTGGCCAGCCTCAGTCTCTGACACTTCCAGGAAGGAGATCAGGTTTGCTAGAGAAGACATGGCTAGAGTCACAGAGCCCTTCCCTGTCTGTCTGTAGGAGCAGCACAGACTAAAGACTCAGGTCTTTGGTGATATCTCAGGCATAGGCGCTGCTGACTTTTCACAGGCAGTGTCTCCTGGGACCTATTCCCAAATCTCCTAGTTAGAGCCCAGATGGGGCAATTGTCCAACCTCCCAGCTGGCCCCCCTGCATCAGGGCCCCTGAGTCCCAGAAGTGTCAGTGATAATACCATTCAGATGACCAGGGCTGGATCCATGCGGGGACTCCTGGTTTTCCCCAGGGTGAGGTGCTGCTTGGATGCATCTTCCTGGCCTGATCCTGAACAGGGCCTATCTCTATCATAGAGTCACCCTTTCTAATTAGAGCCCAATCCCCATGGATGAAATACAGTCAATCCTAGAATAAAGGGAAAAAAATCAAAGATAAAACAGGTCAGGAGCAGGGGTGCCTAGGTGGCTCAGGTGGCTGAGTGTCTGACTCTTGATTTTGGCCCACGTCATGATCTTGGGGTCCTGGGATTGGCCCGTTATTGGGGTCTGAGCTTGGCACAGAGTTTGCTTGACCCTCTTCCTCTGCTCATCCACCCACTCGTGGTCTCTCTCAAATAAATAAATAAATAAAATCTTCAAAAAATTATAGATCAAGAATATGACCAACAATTCAAATGTCATGTAATAGAGGGAATATTCCTATTTTCTATGACCCCAGTGACCAGAGATATGAACCAAATGTAGACTCTGTATAACGCTCGGGGTACAATCTCTGAATTTCTTTTTAAAGATTTATTTATTCATTTTTAGTGGGAGAGAGCTTGGGTGGGACGAACAGAGGGAGAGGGAGAAAGAATCCCAAGCTAACGCTATGCTAAGCACTGAGTCCCATGCTGGATCTCATAACCCCGAGATCAGGACCAGAACCGAATCCAACAGTTGGACCCTCCACTGCAGATGCCACCCAGGCGCCCCAATCTCTGAATTTATTTTTTGTTGTAATTGTGTCTTACATACAAAAAAGTTTATAAAACATACATTTGCTGTTGAAGGAATGATAATATAATGAATGCCCATTCTCCCAGCACTCAGCTTAAATAGTTGAATCCTGTAGAAGCCCTGTGTGGACCTGTTTTCAATCATATCCTTTCCTCCCCCTTTTTGAGGAAATCACTGTTATGAGCATTGTGTATCATTTCTTGCTGTTCTTTGTAGTTTTGCCACATATGCACGGTTGGGGAGGTCCTGGAGAAGATGTGACCACCAGTTGATCCATGAATTGGCCCCAGGCAGTGGGAGGCTCCCCACCCCGTCCCCTGTCCTCAGAATGTAGCTCTGCCCACTGTTCCCACAGTGGGAGCCATTTTCAAGCATGTAGCCCTGATTGAGCAATGTGCCTTTGAGACCCTCTGGAAGACAAAGTGACTGAACCCCTATGAGGCCTCTCTGTATCTAAACTTCTATGATTCTGATGGGCGGGTGTGCCTATCTACTTGTCCTGGGGTGCCCAAGACAAGACATGCCCTGTGGGTGAGTTCCCTTGCCTATTAACACTGCTGCCTACCAATGGGAGTGGCCTGCCTCTTTCCTTGCTCGCTCCCTGCCCTCTGTATCAGTGTTCAGTTTGATAACCCACATGCATAGATGATACACTGTATAGTTTACTCTGAATGTGCCTGTTTTTGTCCTTTATGTGAACGGAATTATGCTTTTTATATTCTTCTGTGAATTGCTTGTATTGTTCAGCATTTTTCTTTCACACTTAGTCATGTGGGTGGATGCATGTAACTGAAGGGTGTTCATGTTTAGTATTGTCTCATACAGGTCACAACCCCTCCTTATGTACCCCTATAGCCTCCCAAAGTTCTGATTTCGGACATTTTGGGTTTGGTATTACTGTGTATGTATGTTGTCTGTGATTCTCTCGGAAGGTCCTGAGGACACAAACACACACTATTTCTACAACAGAAGGAATGTGTATTCACACTGAGTACATACAGAGGCACATTGCTCAATACCCTTGTGCAACTTCAGATCATGGTTTGCTGTTCAATGAGTTCACTGATAACGTACAGAAAATCCTTCTCTCAAGAGATTTTTGTATGATAGAAATGTAGATAGATATCCTGGTGCCTATGTAGTAGTAATCACGGTGTGTATTTTTAAAAATTAATCCTTGCAGGGTAAGACATACAGAAAACTGTGGAAAACACAATACTCCCCCTCAAGGAAGTATTAGAAACCAGTCACCTCTGTATGACTTCCCAGATTTAGAAGTCAAACATGGCCAGCACGTCTGAAGCTTGTTTTGTGTGTCCTGCTAATCATGACTTTTCTCTCCTTCTGGAAGTAAAATAATCCCTATCTTCTTTTAACAGTTTCTTTTAGCTTTGCCTGTTTCTGAACTTTAAGTGAATGCACTCATCCACTGTGTATTCTTTTCTCTGGCTCCTTTTGTTTGCTATTTTTACTTATGTGAGATTCATCTAGATAGGTGTGTATAGTGGCAGTGTGTCCATTACCATTGCTGTGAGTTGCTTCATTGTAGGACAACACCACATATTACTCATGCAGTCTAGTGTGGAAGGCATAGCTGGCTCTTTGGCTATTAGGAGTAATACTGGGATGATCATTCTGGCACCTGAGTCTTGGTGCACACGTGCATTCCTTTCTCTTGTGTACATACCCATATGCTGGGTTCAAAGATGTCCATGTCCTTCAGTTTAGTACACATTGTGAAACTGACCTCCAAGGAGATTGTCCCAAATTGCACTTGTACCAGCAATGTGTGAGAGTGCTCGTTGGACCACATCCTGGATGACTCTTGGTGGTTTCAGCCTTTTCTACTGGGGTCATGTTGCTGTGTGTGTGGTTTGGGGGTCCTCTCCTGATGGTTTGATTTTTATATTTCAGTGATTAATTATGAGATTGAGTTCCTTATAAATACTCCTTAGCACTTAAAAAAAAAGATTTATTTATTTAGAGAGAGAGAGAAAGAGAGAGAGAGTGAAAGAGCAAGAGAGAAGGGAGCAGAGGGAGGACTAGGGGAGAGGGAGGAGAGAAGCTGACTCAGGCTTGTGGATGGAGCCTGACACAGGGCTTGCTCTCACCAGCAGGGGATCTTGACTTGAGGGGAAATCAAGAGTGGGAGGCTTGAGTGAGCCACCCCGGTGCCACTCATTAGTATTTTTATTTCCTTATTTTGAAACTGCTTGTTTCAATTTTTTTTTCATTTTTCCATTTAGTTATCTGTATCAGTTAAATATTCTGATTTATTTATAGAACTCTGTAGAACTCTTTATTCTAGATCCTAGTCCTTTGTTGATTTATATACATGATAAACATTTCCTCTATCTCCGGTTTATCATTTCACTGTTTATAGAGCTGTTT